TCTCTCTCTCTCTCTCTCTCTCTCTCTCTCTCTCTCTCTCTCTCTCTCTCTCTCTCTCTCTCCGACTGTCCCCTTCCATTTTGCATCTCCTGATTTGAAACGTGTACAAAAAGAACCTTCCGTTCCACCGTTTGGTCATTGCCCAGCATCCTCCCTTCCATGTCGAAATGTAGCCAAACTGTCCCTAAATTTTCAGGGTGCGGCGCACAGACTGTCGGTGCGCGCTCCCCTGCCGCCGGCTGGTGTACTCTGAGGGAGAATGTATTCAACGTCGTAATCGTCATCCGTTATTGTGGTGCTTGGGAGGCCAGGCCTGTCGACAGACGCGGTGCCACAGCGAAAGAGGGCTGCTGCCTTCTCAGCCACGGATACGGATTTGTCCAGCTTGAAGACGGAAAAACTCATTACCGTGTCGCGCGCTCGTAGAGATGAGACGATTGCCTGCTTTATAGATACCAATTTTTCTATCTGCTCCGCAGCTCGTGTCGTCTTCGTTGTCTGTTCTATCTCACATTGAATGACCATCTCCGCGAAAGCGAGTTGCTGCAGGGTGACGCTGAGGTTTCGTCCTTCCTTCCTCATCTGGAAAACTTTTAAGAGTGCCGTCTTGAAGGCGGGGGCGCCCCACGGATCGTCGCCGCTCCGTCTCCATGTCTTGTTCTCTTTCATCTCGGCGCGCATCTTGTTGCGAGCGGGGAGGTGGTGGTCCGATTGCTGCGATCCGACCAGCGGAATCCCTTTTTCTGCCCAGAACCAATGCTTCAGCTGCCAGGTAATCTCTCCGCGGATCGTCGTCATAATTCTGTTGCTTTCTCCTATGACAGCTCGAATCCCGCGCTCTGCAATGTGAGACAGCAACCCTTCCTCTGCTGTCCCCCCTGCCAGTTTGGCCGTCGCTTGCATCGCCGCGAAAAACGTGTCCTCTGTAGGGTACAGAGTTGCGTCGTTCGCCGAAGAGAACGCAAAGGCTTTGGCGACGGAACGCAACAGCTTGCCCTTCATTTTCTTCGCTAATACAGCACCCTCCTCGTTGAGTCCTTGCGCGGCTATGCCCCTTGCGCGCGCTTTCGTTCCTGACGTTGCGATGGGCAGGGAAACACAAGACACAACGCACAGGATAGTGTTAGCAACTCGGCGCCTTGTTCTGAATACAGCACTTGGTAATTGGAAGATTCGGCTATCAACAGTGCGTTTACTAAAACCCTTTTCCGTGCGTGAAGGCTTGCGCCCCGTGGGCGCATAGGATTAGCTGCTCGTGAGTGGGAGGGGAGCGAGTGCGACGCTGATTTTTTACCTTTTCCAGTGGCGCTCACGTGCTGCACGATTTGTCTGTCACCGACAGGCTCCTCGGTGTCGCTGCCATTGCGTGCCTGCCGTTCTCCTTCGCTGCGCAGCGTCCTCGAAGGAGATGGCGAATCATCTCCTTCCGAAGCGGCGCTCCGGTCTTCGCCGGTACTCTGGCTGGCCGATTTGCCGTCGCTGTTGTCGTCCTCGTCGGTGTCTTGCGACTGCCCGCAGGAAGGACCGCTGTCGTCTCCCTCGTTTCCCCCCTCCTCATCCTCCGCACCGTCTGACTTCTCTGGCGTGGAACGGTCGTGTTCCGCCTCTTCTTCCGCTTGGGGTGTGCTGTGCCTGTCGTCAGACCCTCCAAGATCGATTGTCTCCACTGGTCTCTCGTCTTTGTAGGATATTCTCTTCTTTGAACTCCGGTGAGTAGTCGCGCTTCTATCATCCCGCGATTTTTTTTCTGGGGCCCTCGGCGGACGGTTCCCGGCGCCTCTTCCGCGCTTTCCCCCGACAGGGGTCGAGGGGGGTGACTCGTTACGTTCTTTCAGCGTTGAAATGTCCCGCTCACTCGAAGGGACTGTAACTTTCGACCCGGATTTACGCCTGCGCCTGTGCACCATTTTCGCGGAGAGGCCGGCACCGCTTCTGCGATGCTCTTTCGACTCCCTCTTCTCAGCCCCCGATTTCTTCCGGCACTTGTCCTTCTTTCCCGCGGGTTTCAAAAACCTGCACAGATCCTCGTATTTTCGCCTTGGAGCCATCACCCTTTTTTCCCACATGCATCAAAGTGGAATAAGAACTACAAGTGCGTCAGAAATGTTGTTTGTCACGCAGAGAGAGAGAGAGAGAGAGAGAGAGAGAGAGAGAGAGAGAGAGAGAGAGAGAGAGAGAGAGAG